ATTTTCAAAAAAATCAATGCCCAATATATATAATTGACTCACAGAACTTACACAACAGTCTATCTTCCTTATTATTTGCAGGCCAAGCCACATGGCTGACACACATACTACTTCAAGCCCTCAATCAAAGTTCAATGAAATGCATCCCATCCAATCTAAGACACCAAAATAGCTTATATATTGAATGGCCACTGTAGACATTATTAAAGTGATCCTCGCAGGAAAACAGTTGATTTTCCTTTTTTTTCTGTCGCTCGTAGCCTATTCTTCCTTGCTGACCGATTCTTCAAAGCAATATATATATACAATAAAGCCAGCTTAAGCCCTTGGAGAAGAATCGGTCTTGTTGAACAAGGCATTGGCATCACTGTAAATGGCCAAAGCATTCGAGAAAACAGCGAGGACAATCATTGTAACTGCAAGAACCTTGTCCTTCTTTGTAGCTATGGAGTGTGGATCCCTGTAATAAAATAAGAATAGTTATATCACATAACGTCATGCACATGCATACAAAAAACACAGATTTACATTTTTTTCTTTATTAAAAGAGAATAAAAGAATCCAAAAAAAAAGTACAGAACACCGAGATGCCAATGTGGCAGCACCTCTCTGAGTCCTAAAAAGATGCACCCTTTAACAATAATGGCACAGGTGAAACACCTCCATTTGCAAATACATGCATAAATACAAACATTCTTGCATCATTACATACTTATGTATATTAACCTCGAAAGGATCGACTGAGGATATGCAGAAGTGGAGAACATAAAAGTCGACTAATCAGATAACTCTAGACAGGGGTTCCGGAATTTCACATAAAAGCCTACTTTTTTCTCATATTTTGGGAGAACCGTCATTGATGACCACCAGCTAGACACACCAGTCAGGCTAAAAGAGGTGGTGTTTGGCTGTGTTTGTGTAAGATACTATGGGTAAAATCATAAACAACTTAAAGAATGCATTGATAGCGAGCTTATTTAACTTAATACATTTTCCAGTGACGGCATTAGGGAGGAGGCAAAGGAAAGAGCAAACCCAAGAAGGACTATGAGTCAAGAAGGAGGTAAGTTTCCATCAGGAAATTTTGGCCGCAAATAACAATAGAAAAATGAAAACATGCAGGATATTTCCCAAAATCGGCCCAGTAGTTACTGTAGATATGTAGATTTGAGAGAAACAACACTTTCTCAGAAAAGGAATGAATAAATGATAAAATCACATCCACAATCTATCTCTCTCTCTATCTCTATCTCACACACACACATGCAAAATGACAAAGTTAAGCAGACTTAGCACACAACATAACAAAGCTAAGCAGACTTACTTTAGAGCAAGGGCAGCAGGGAAGATGAACCCAAGGCAGACAGCAGCAGTAGCCCCCGTAAACTGGAAAGCATCCCATATGCTTGGTATGAGGTTGGCCCCCACATATACAATAACAATCAAGCCCACCGTAATCAAACTAAACCGCTTATTATCTGAGACCAAAGACCTCCTAGCTGATGGAAAGATGAGGCCATCCAAGTTGAGCCTCAATGCAAAGAAAATAAGTGGAAAAACCAACATCAGGTGAACTGCATAACTAGCTCGAACAGCTGCATTAAGGACCGAGCTATAAGGGATTCCCAAATTGGAATCAAAGTTGGCCAAGACATCATCAGAGGTGTTATCTCCAAAGAGGAGGAAACCAAAGAAGCTGGTGGTTATGTACACGCCTGAGCAGAGGGCAAGAGAGCTGCGAACTATGGATTGCATGCTTGAAGGATCCTCGAGCTCATTGTCTATAGAGTGAACTGCATGAACCCCAAGCATTTGTCAATAATTCATTAATTTACTAAGATGTAAAATAAGGAAAAAGAAAACAAGTATACAAGGGTAAGAAAGTGAAGCCTTTTGGGCTAGTGCTTACATAAATATGGAAATTTTGGGTGGGTTTTGTTTTATGCAATGAAGGGAAACCCAAAAAGGGTATAATTTGCACGTGCTGATGCAAAAGTTGGTCAACATTGTAAGCATTTTGGGCCAAAAATTGGTTGGAGTTGAGTGGCAGTTTCTTCCTTGAATACCAAAGCTCAATCGGAAAAACAGGAACTTGGTTTGTTTTTGCCGGACATTAATAAGAATAGAATACCTCATCCCAAAACCATGAAAAAATATGACAACATAAAAGAGCTGAATTTAGATATCAAGAATTTGTGTTAATGATAGTCCCATGAAATTGTAGGTTCGCTTATAATGACTTGAAATCCTTTGAAAATCATTCTTTGGGCAAAGGAAGTGTGTTAAGGCTTAGAGCCAAAGGGTTCAAAGCCCAGTTTGGCCAAAGCAGATCGACTGCTCCAGCACTGAACACGACAATACTTCTTGTTTCCGTGTACTTTTCTTTCCTCTTAAGAACTGGTAACCAATCCAACCAAAACCCCAAGAAAAAAAGATGATCTAGAGTAAAAAATCATCTCAAATATGATGGCAGAAGAGGGAGGAGGAATGGTTTATAATAAGATATTGTCTCCGGGGGATAAATTGCCCTAATATTATGTTCTCTAATTTTTATGTTCAAAAAGTTTAAGCTATTACAATAGCATTAAATTTTAAGATTTAACTTTGGTGGTATTGGACTGAAACTTCCCAATAAAGAGATTTTAAAAGTTACTCTACACTTATTTCTGTTATCATCGCCTCTTAGCAGTAACTGTAATGCTCATAAAAGTTCTTTACTAGTATTGAGACTTCTTGAATATGAGTCTGACATTAAAGTTCGGCTTTAATGTTTTACATTTATATTGTGTCATATATTATTACTTTTTTTTAACTTTTATAAATGAATACGAAGTTTTAAGTGAGGACATAATAAGTCAGACAAAAATGAATCATTAAGTGAAAAATTTATATATAATATGTATTGAAGACATATGATTATAATTTAAGTATCAGTTTATATATTTCACTTTTTCAATTTTTAAATAATGTTATTTTAATATTTTTATTCAAAATTCCCATATCTTCGCTTAAGCAGGTACTTTGCAGAAACATTTCTCTAGCCAGCCAAACCACAGCAGACTCCAAAGCAAACCTCACAACATTGAAAATTTGCATAGGTTGGTGCTGCTTGGTTCTAAAGTACTTGTGATACTATCTGGTGCTTTTAAGCATAGAACAAGATATACCATAAGTAGATTACAAGTAGGATCAAGAAGATTGACACCCCACATTATTAGTGAGCATGTCTAAACTAAAACCAGGTCATTCATCCATATAACTTGGATAACAAATGCAAAACCTGTTCAATAGCCAATATCCTTCATTTTAAATGTCATGTTGCACATAGAGAACACAATAACCATAGAGAACACAATAACCAGACTTTCAAAACAATGCCACAGTACCCTAGTTTTGGAAGAAAACACCAGAAATAACATTTCATAAAGAAAGATGAGTAAATTAGAGAAGAGCTTTTTGCATACATATGTGAGAAGCAATGCCGACAAATAAAAAACATGTAGGAGTCTAAAGTAACAATATTGAAATTTGTATTAAAGAGGATTAAACAAAAAGCAATTCTTCAGACTGCTTACCATTGTAATGGCAGATGAAGGCTGTGACAAGAACAGGGACAACAGTGAAGAGTTTCCAGACTGATGTCATATCAGTTACATTTGGCACCCATCTTGGCATTCCAATACTGCCATTGATCAACTTAACAATCGTAATGCCTGCTGTAATGACAACAAACACTACGGCAAGAGCCACCGATAGTGCAGATGTATATCTCAAAGAATCTGCCAAAGAAAGGAAAGTTCAGATATAAAGTTGATTTCACAAAAATTAGGGAGACAAAGAGGGACATAAACTTCTTGTTACATGTGTGAGAAATCAACCAGATCAGCCAAAACACACGTATATAAGATTCAAGGTGCGGTATACCAAGAAAGTGTATCAAAACCAAGTATTCATAGATAGGTTTATGGACATGACTTTTGTAATTTTATAGAACTTAAGATATTGGCAGTATTTGAAAAAGCGCTAAACGGCACCTAGGCGGTTGGGGGGTCCAAGCCGCCCAAGCGGTCGCCCAGAACCTGTGCGGCCCAGTATAATTTTTTTTTTTTGGGTTTTCTCTCTCTAAAATAGCCTCTAAACCTACACTTTTGCCCTTTTAGTATAAAACAAACGACCCAAAAATACCCTCATGGAGCCGCATTTCCGCCCCTGGGCGGCTTCAAGCAGGTACCAAGGGATATCCGCCTAGGAGGCCGCCCAGGCACTGGGCGGTCCGCGTTTTGAAACAGTGGATATTGGACATGACTTAAGATGTTGGACATGGTATAGTGTTCATTTTACCCATCCACGCATCACAGGAACAAGCACAATAAAAGGAAATGAAAGACTACAATTAGATATATATGTCTGATATAAAAAATTAAGGCTATTAAGCAATACAATATGAGCCCCCATAAGAAACTGTAACCAGGGCACATGACTTGATTATTATAGCATCCATTAATTCATAAATATAGCCTACATCTAGACTAAAAGAAATGTGGCAAAAGCACACTTACCTACACGTTTGAAGGACACTAGCGGAGCAAATACACAAAGTGTCGTTACAAGCAGGACAAAAGCACGCCCATTCCACCAATGGGCTCCAAATATTTCTTCCAAAATTCCTAAGTGATGAACCCCACTTGAAGTTGTTCCAGAAAGCACATCCCCTGGCCAGATGGAACACACAATCTCACATATCCACTATATAAACCAATGGTTTAAAAAATGGATCGATGACCCGGATCGGACACCCAAAAAACCGATCCGGATCGGCGAATCGGCGATCCGAAGCGGGAATCGGGTGAATCGGTCAGAATACAGCTTAAAAAAAATCCGAAAAAATAATTAAAATTCATTATAAATATTGTTTTTTAGGAATTCAATAAGAAATGAGGGTACTCCATTAAGAATTTTCATGTTTGAATGAATATGCGAATATTGATATGTTCTTTCCCTGCATGAACCGTCATTCAGCATTTAATTTACATCACACAAAAGGATAAACATAGAATTATCATGGAATAAGTATATCAACATACATGGACTACAATAAAGCATAAAATTAGTAACATATGATCTAAAAATAAAATGATAAACGACGTTATTGTTCTTCTTGGTCACGCTGGTGCCATTGATTGAATTCGTTTAACAATTCATTGATTCGATCTAAAAACGAATCATCGATATTAGCAGGCGTCTGACTATTCCCAAATCCCTGAATGTTAGTGTTTTGTTGTGTTCCCAATCCAAAATCCCCAAAGCTTGTCCATCCTTACAGCTCACCTGCACTGTCGTGCTCATCCCTACACTGTTGCTGTTGGGACTCGATATGTGAATAA